TCATGAGGTTTTTGAATTATAAAAAAGTTTTATCAGACAAATTAAAAATTCATCCATAGAAAATGTAGAAAAATAATTGCGGTTTTTTTGAGCTATAGAACTCCTAGAAATGTCAAAAACTGAAAGAGGAGATACATTTTTTCTGTAAAAACTTTCAAAATGACCATTTTTGACATTTTTCTCTTCCGGAAAACGACCATACGTGAATCTATAACCACTAATTAATTTTTTAAGAATCATTTGAAACATCTTGGAACTCCACAAAACCAGATAAAAAATTCTGAGATTATGGTTTTAGACCTGCAATTGTGATCGCGCCATACTTTTTTTCTGTAGATCAAAAATTAATTTGCAGTTCGGAATTGTTCTGTGGGAGAGCGTGAACTGGAAAATTAAAGAAGCAAGAGATAAAAGTAGGAAAATTTTTTGAAATGACCGAATCTGATGGATCCTGGGTGCAGTATATAAAGGATGAAGCTAGCTATGACGCTAGATCTTTGAGTTTTAAAGATTTTTAGAGATCATGTGGAAAAGTATCAAAAAACGATAACATTACTAACACAAAAAGAACTCTGATTGTTATTGAGTTTGATGATGATGATGATGATGATGATGCACAAACACCTCTTCCTCATCTCTCTGATCGTCTCTCTTATCAAAAGCAATTTAGAAGATATTGGGAGTAGTTTTAGAAAAGAAACGAAAAAAGAAACAACTGTTTTCCTCAATGGTCCTCCTCTGATAAAAAGAGAGATCAGAGAAAACATGTCTCTTGTTGTCTTAATGCTCCTCCAAATTGCTTGGCAGGGTGGAAGATTGATGAGAGCCCAAAGGATTTTTGTTTTTACTACTCCAACAGGGCTCAATTGTGACAATCACAGATCGTTCAAATTGTTATTTTCATCTGGAAAAAAGTCGCCATGTGATTGGGGTCCCGTCTCCGGATATTCAGATTCGAAGGTTTCGAAGATCAGAGGCACAACATGATAACAAATAAACAAGAATCAGATTTCATGGGGTTGTTTTTGAAAATCTGAAAGATCAGAAGTGAACGGGGGGAAGAAAAAAGAAAAAGCATAATCTTTGATAAATGATGTTTATCGTTCACAAATCGAGGAATATGAATATATAAATAGACAGGTAAACACGCAGTTTTTGGTGGTTGGGACTTTTGGAAATTTATATCCTACTCAAAAAATTTTGACATACTGGTAGTGTCCTAGTACAAAAAATCGGAGCTGTGGTCCCACAGCAAAAATTACCGTAACCTAGAAATATTTTTATTCTCGGGATTTATTTTCTCGTTTTTCACTTCTGAGTTTTGCGTTATTTTTCCCCAAAAAGATACACGAAAATTGAGAAAATTGGTCCAGAAAATCAAGCACATTTTTAAGGTTACGGTAGTTTTGGGACCTTCAACTACGACAACCGGCACTTCTCTTTTACTTCGTACTAGGATGATATGAGAAACCTATATTACTCTTCTCATCCAGTAAGATAAAACATCGCGATTGGCATCTCCTATCAACTCCAAACGTTGTCTCTTTTGAAGAATGTCACTAAAATTAGAAAAGAGAAAAAGTGATCCAGAAGAGATGTGTAAATTGTGTGTAATGAGCGGTCACTCCCTTACTCCTCCTGGTACCAAACGGCTCCGAGAGCAAACGGGAGCCACTGACGGGCGCCGCTACCATGAGAGCCCCGGATATAAGACGAATGGGGAGCCAGGGCCATCGTGATGTTTCAAAACTTCCTAGAAAAAGTGCAAATTTATTGATGATATGAGAAGGAGAAAAAGTGGGAAGAGATGATTTTTTGCACAACGTATTACACCTCCCACAAAAATCAGAGATATTCAAAAAATAGTGTAATTTTTTTCGGCTCCAACTGATTCCAGGATTTTCGCATGAGTCACTGATAAGATTGGTGTTTTTGCAACATTACACCGACCATTATTCAGGTTCAAAAAATCGGAAATGTGCAAGAGAAAAGCTGGTGGGCGTTGCCAATGGTTCCTGTAACGAATACCACCGTTACCTAAAAATTTATTTTCTTTTCTCGATTCATTTTGCTTTTCGACAAGTTTAGTATTGAAAACCTCCGACAAAATCGGGAAATAAACATTTTCCATTTCTAAAAAATAGCCGGTAAACGGACAAAAATCGAGAAAATTAATACGAAAGTAAACATTTTTGCTAACTACGGTAGTTCGGCTTACTCAGAATAAGCGAGAAAAAAAAAGAAACTACCGGAACGGAACACAAAATGAATGTCGATCTGAATATTTCGAATGATCACTGCCAAAATGGATGTGGATAACTGGATCCAGAATCCGCGAGAAAGTGAATGATGCCATCGGAAATGGGGCGAAATTGGTCTATAATTGCTGTGTGGTTGTGTTGAAATGAGTCAGATTTTAAATAGAAATTTATTGGAAAAAAAAACAAAGCAACAAGAAAAATCAACAATCTGAACCTGTATGAAATCAAAATGATTATCAATGCACAATGATTAACTCTCCGTTTTGGGAACTACTGCAGCCGGTTCTTCTTTGGGTGGGTCCACTGTCTCCGATTTATCTTTTTTGAGTTGAGCATTCTTCCGTTCTGGGATAATCGACAATAGAGCTGCTTTCCAATCCTTGTGCACTGACCAATGGACCAGAATTTCGTAAACTTGATTAATGGTCAAAACCTGGAATGGAGAATTAATACTATGCGATATTGAATTATCAATTAACGGGTTTTTAGTGAGCCCAGAATTTTCTGCTTACCCGCCTGGATTTCATGAGCAAATGTTCATCCAATGGTAGTCTAGCATGCCCGAAACCTTTCTCCTTGGCAATTCGATGACAGAGTCCTTTCTGTGAATTGTGGTCCACGATTCCACCGATTACATATACTTTGGTATCATCCAATTCGCTGAGGGTATTTTCAGACTCGGATGTTAGATAGATTATTTCTTCCGGTTTGAATACAGTTTCCAATTTTTCGTGGTGAAGAAAGATATCTTGATTCAAATTATGTTCATTTCCATTATAGATCTGAAAGTATGCCAGCATTACCAGAACCTCACAAAGAAAAACTCACCTTTCTTGAAAGTCCATCAAATCCAACGACATGAAATTGGAATGGATTTGGACTATGTCGGTTAGCTGTATAACACCAACCAATTTGTTGAACAGTCCTTTTCTGATCTTTCTCAATCATCAAATCATCGAAGGACATGTCAAGAGCGATGCGTTGCTGTAAATGTTTTTATTTAGTATTCTTAACCCAGAAATTGCAATAAAAAAGCGAAGGCTTGTTCTCACTAACCTTGCTATTAGACTGTGCCATCGTTCGAAAATCTTTCCTCTTTCTGAGTTTAGAAAGATCTCCAGCTTCTTTCAACGCTGCTCGTTTTTCCTTCTTCCGAATTCTTTCTGCTGCTCGCTTTTCAAGTTTCTTCTCTTCCCATTTCTTTTTGTATTTCAGACGCCGTAACTGCTTCTTCGACATTCCTTCTGCATCTGCTGAAAAGTGGTGCACGCTTATTTTAAAATGTTTTAGATTTTTTCTCAAAATGTGTAGAAGAAAATACTTATTCAAATATGTTTTATTTCTATTAAGGTTTTTTCGATTCTCTTCCGTTTCTGGCAATTTTTTAGATTTAGAAACATTTTATTTCCCGACTTGCTTCGAGAGTTTTAACACAAAAATTGTCGAAACTGAAGATCTAAAAAATTGTTTCAATAGGGACAAAAAAACTTACGTAGTTCTTCATCCTGGGAACCTTCGATCTGAACAGCACCTTCAATATCATCTTTGCTTCTCTTTGAAGCTGCTGTAAAATTTATATAAATTCAGAAGTCTTGCAAATGACTAACGCTCGTCGTCTTCATCATCTTGGCGTTCTGCCGACTCATCCATGATTTCCACAATATCTTCCCCAGTATCTTCAGACATTATCTGAATATTGGATAATTTTGACATCATTCAGATATTCAAAAAAAGATAGGGTTAGGTTTTTTGTTGAATTAATTTTATCGAAAACCATTGAAAATCTCAGTTGAAGAGATTGGAGACGCAGACAAAAGGTGTGCGCATTTCTCGATATTCTGGCGCACTTGATGTGTTGAAAAAGTTGGAAAAGTGAGATTTTTAGGTGAATATTAAACAATTGTAAAACAAAAATGGCTGAAAAGACAATGAAAGAAGGAATCGAAGAAGATTTTATAGTAAGTCAGTTTCCATTTTAACATCTAAAAATTTCTTTGTTCCAGACAGATCGAAATCCTGTTCCACTCGCTTTCTGTGCTCACCCGACTCCGATTGCCCCAGAAAACAAAAACCAGGAAGACGACATTGTCGAACAGATTCTGGAGCTCGTCGATCCGATCGTCGTTTCTAATCAGAATGAAACTCGTCAAGCGTCGTCTATCAAAAGTTACGGGGGCGATACAGAAAGCGAATTCGAGTTGTCTGAAGACGACAGTGACTTTGAGAATTTGAAAGATGTTCGAGCAGGAGCTTTCGATTCAGACGAGGAGTTCGATCGGTTAGTGAAATACTCGGCGAAGATAATAGAGAAGACACACAAATCGGAGTATCCCGGGGAGAACGACACAAGAAAGAACAGAAAAACGAAGAACTCCCAGAAAACTGTAAGCAAAGTTTTTTCTCGAATTAAAACTAGAACATTGATTTTTACAGGCAAATATCCGCGAGTATGATGATCTTCCTCCTCTCGAAAATCTAAGCATCGAATGCAAAAGTCAGTTGATTGAGTTTGGATATGTAAGCAAGGTTGTCGATTGTCAAGGTATTTCTATTTTCACACAGTCACCATAACTTGAAGTTTTCCAGTTGTTATCGTATCGACGTGCAATGAAGTTCTCGATTTCGACTCATTTCTGTTCGACGAAAAACGCAATGCAATCGGTCAAGTGTACGACATTTTCGGACAAGTAAAGTCGCCACAATATGTCATTCGATTCAATTCGAGTGAAGAGGTATTATACGAAACGGTATTTATATTCTCAAAAATCTATATTTTCAGGCTGCTCTCATCCCAATTAATATGAAAATGTTTTATGCACCGACTGAGAAAGAATTCTCCAAGACACCATTCAAAGGTCTCAATCTTGCTGCTGCCAATCGCGATACAATTCAATCTTTAAATCGTCAACTCGATCATCAAGCCGCAGTTCAAAAAGCCAACGATCGCTCCTATGTGCCAGAAGTTGACAGTGATGTGGAGTTTAGCGATGACGAAGCAGAGAAAGAGTATAGAAGAAATACGCGTAAGTGCAATATGATAGTTCTCATAAGAAGTTCAATTCGTTTTAGAGCCCCAATCAGCAAGTGGGAGACAAAGTTTTGAACCAAACAGAGGTGGACGGAAGCGAGATCGTCGTGGTGGGCAGAGAGTTCAGTTCGCATCAAACGCTCCAGCACCAAAACCTTATCGTCGTGATCATGATGGCCCTATCACTGCCTCATCGACTACCCCGTCATTTACTCCATCAGTCATCCCTTCACCCACACCTGCTCCACCGTCTAGACCACCACAATCAACCGAATCAAATCCGTATGCAGAGTTCGGCTGCTACTCGGGATTCGGGAGACGTTTCGGAATCTGATTAATTGTTATCTTTTGACCCTTTGAACATTTTGTGACTTTTCTTTCCTAATAACCTTGTTAAATATCATTGTTGAGGTTTTCCCATAAAGTTCCTTTTATAATAACGTGAGTCATCTAACAAGCTATTCGTCAACCACGTTTGTCCGCACTTTACAATGTCTGCATTCTATGGAGTGAGCCGTATTTGGCTGGTTTGTAGCTGGGAGAAAGGTCCCGTATGCTATGGGATGGCACTGTAAGAACTGGAAATTGGGAAATATATTGTAATGCGTTTAGGGATATAATCGGAGCTATCTGTTTTCTCTCATTTATCTTTCTCATGATTGTGGTTGTCTTTTTCGGCTGGTTTGGAATATTTCCGAAAGTCATTCGGGTTTGTTTCTCGAATATTTTTAAAGAATTTTTTTTCGATTTCAGCGCAAACTTCACGATTGAAAGATGGTTCAGTTTTATTATGTTTCAGAAGAGAGGTTATCTAATATTCTAACAAAAGAAGTGCTGGATAGATCGATTACTCTATTAATTCAATAAATATTTATTTAAAAAAAAATGTTGGTTGATTATAAGATTGAAATAAAGTACATTCTAAAATAGAACGAAAAAAAAATAGATTTCCAGAATGGATAGTAATTGAGTGAAAATTTTTTGTCATAATTTTCGAAAATCAAAAATATTGAGATTCTGAAGTTCTGCGATTTCGAAGTTCTGAAATTTTAACATTCTGAAATTCTCAGACTCTGAAGTTCCGAAATTCGCAGATTCCGAAATACTGAAATTTCAAAGTTCTGAAATTCTAAGAATTCTGAGATTTTCAAGCTCTGAAATTCAGGAATTCAGAAACTCCCTCAAAAAAAACTGTACCCCCGAATCACAAGCGTTGTACCTCTGAATGAAATGAGTTGTACCCCCGAATCACTGTACCCCGAATTTTTGGCCGAAATTCTACCCAGTTGACTCTCCGAAATAACACATTTGATAGTCTTCAATTGTGTTTGTTTTCCTCAAAAAACTACGAAAAAGATGTAAAAATAAAAATTCATCATGTTCAGAATCATATACTCAAATTGATCTCAATGACCCCTATGAGACTATCGATGCCCCCTGGGAGCATTTGGTCCGATGCCCCTATGAGACATGGTGGGATGCCCCCTAAGAGACAAGTTCAGGATGCCCCCTATGAGTTAGTGCCCCTATGAGTGAATGCCCCCTTTGAGCACGATGCCCCCTACTTCGATGCCCCCTGGGAGTATGGGCCAATAATTGAACGGAAAGAAAGTATTTATTCTAGAATCTTCTAGAGAACAAGAATTTTAGACCAAGAAAAGTGGAGGAGCAATTGTTTGAAAATTGTATCGAAGTAGAAGAATTTATTTATATTTACATTCATAAGCTCAAAGAGTTGAAAACTTTCTTTTCTCCAAATACTCCTTCAACTTTGGAGTTTCCAGAACTTTTTGATGGAATGAAGCAATACTTTTTTCTTCTTCTGGATGGAAGAACGCCGTATTTTTCAGGGTAGTCAGATTCTCAGCAACCGCAACATCAGCATACGTCAATTCAGACCCAACGAGATATCCAGTTTTAGTTTTCTCCAATTGATTCTTCAAGATAGAGAAGTATACTTGTACTGCTGGTTCCACAATTTCTTTGCGAGCCCGATCCTGAATTCAAAAAATAAATTCAACGAAATAGGTCACAGTATTTCACCAATTCTTCCTGGGTCTTTCCAAAGAAGAGACCAGCTCCGTAGTGCTTAAAGCTGTTTAGAAAATCCTTGAAATGATCCACAATCGAGTCAGCAGTTGCCTCCTCTTCTGGAGTTTTTCCAGCATAACCAAACTTTCGTGCCAAGTATCTCCAGATAGTAGCAGATTGGGAGATTTCAAATCCATCAACAGTCAATATTGGAACTTGGCCAGCTGGCAGAGCTGAAAAACAGTCGTTTAGATGATTGACTCGTTCTCTTGATCTTAGGATTCATACAAGGTTTCAGTTTTTGGAACTCTTCTACTGTCAATCGATTATCTTCAAACTCAACATCAGCGAGAACAAATAGTTGACGAGCTGTTTCAGCCAATCCACGAGCGTCAAAGTATGTTAGCTTGTAGTGAACCATTCTGGAATTCCAGTCTATGAATAATATAAAAGAAAAATAATGTTATCTAACAGAAATGCAACTAGAGAGAAATTCTTAAGCATTTATTTAATTCAAAATCCTCCACAAACAATCTAATCTAGAAACTTCGAAAAACATCTTAGTGACCTCTTAGTTAGAATTAGTTTTTTTTTTCCAAAATTTCCCCAATTTTTATCTGAAAATGGGCAACGTCTAATGAAAAGAGCCTACTCGCTTGAATGGTTCAATTTTTTCTTTAATACTAAAGCGATACAACTTGAAATATTTTTATAATGGTCAGTTTTGCAAGAGAGAACTTTTTTATATTAATTGGATTCTGGTACAAAAATCAACACCTATTCCAATCGTCATCATTTTTCCCATCGAATTAGAACCGATTGAACTTTGGTGAAAGATCAAGAAAAAAAATGATAATTGATTGATAAGACAAACTATAAATATGGAAACCAACTACAAAACAACAGAACAACATCTCCAAACATGCCAAATTACAAACTTTCGTACTTTGATGTTCGAGCTCTCGCCGAGCCTGCACGTTTAATTTTTGCTCTATTTGATGTGCCATTCGAAGATCACCGAGTTTCAGTTGAAGAATGGAACGATATGAAGGAAAGTGGGAATTTGTGAACTTGGAGAAGATTATAATTTTCTATTGCTTCTTTCAGAAACCCCTTATGGTCAACTACCAGTTCTGGAGGTAGATGGAGTTGAAATCGGACAGTCCATGTCTATTACTAGGTATTTGGCGAGAAAATTTGGTAAGCTAATATTTTGTGGGCTGATTTTTTTTCAATTTTTTCTTTCAGGAATTGCGGGGAAAAGTCCGGAGGAGGAGGCTATTGCGGATTCAATTGTGGATCAATACAGAGATTTCATATTCTCCTTCCGCCAGTTCACTTCGGCCACTTTTTATGGAAAAGATGCTGAACATATTGTTAGTTAAAGTCTTCTAATTGAAAATTTATTTCTAGAATTTCAGAACAAAGTACGAAACGAAGTAGTGAAGCCTGCTCGAGATCTATTCCTAGGAATCATCAACAAGATTTTGGATAAAAGCCAATCCGGATATCTCGTTGGAAATTCGCTAACTTGGGCGGATATTGTAATTGCTGACAATTTGACCAGTCTTCTGAAGAATGGTTTTGTGGACTTCGCAAAAGAGAAGAAATTAGGAGAATTCTACAACAAAATCCACTCAATTCCAAAAATAAAGGAGTATGTTGCCAAGAGAAAGGGAACTAATATTTGATTTGTTCCGTTTTCATGATTGATTTGTTTGTTCTGTAAAATGTTGTATCTTTGTTTGCGTGACTATTGTCAATCTATAAAAGTTTCGCATGAAATATCGTACCGCCCATGAGAGAACCATCTTCAAAAAGTGTTTGCAGTTGCAACGAATTTGTGTTTTCTCTCCGTGATGATTCAATATAAACTAATATATTTTGATGTCCGTGGTCTTGGTGAAGTATCCCGTCAGCTGTTTCATTTGGCTGGAGTTGAATTCGAAGATGTAAAAATTTCAAGAAACGATGAACAAGCGTGGCTGGAACTGAAAAAGTCAACACCTTTTGGACAACTTCCAATTTTGAAGGTTCTGGACACAGAATCCCAAAAAGAAATCGAGATTCCTCAATCATCAGCCATTGGAAGGTATTTGGCAAATCAATTTGGTAGGTTTTTTTTCAAAATCTGACTGGGTAAGGAAACTGGCATTTTCAGGTTACGCTGGAAAATCTCCAGAGGAGAAAGCAATGGTCGACGCTGTTATAGATCAATTCAAAGACTTTTTGGTCCCTCAAAAACAACTAACTCTTGCGGTTCGGACAAAGAAATCGGAAGAAGAAGTGGTGAGTTATATTTTTTATAGACTGAATTGAAGAATGTTGAATAATTTGCAGAATAGAGTGAAAGAAGAAATTGTAACTCCTGCAAAAAATGAGTATTTCAAAATTTTGAAGAAACTATTGGGGAATAATTCATCTGGATTTTTGGTTGGAAATGGAATAACTTGGGCTGATCTTCAAATATCGGATAACTTGACTACCTTGGAAGGGTTTGGATTGTTCACACCATTAGAAGAACCAATTCTAGCAAAGTTTCATGAAAAAATCATGAATACTCCAAGTTTGAAGACCTATTTTGAACAAAGGCTAGCTTCTCTTCTCTGATTAACTCTATACTTTTTCGGAGTCTATATTTTCTTGACATCCTTGCAATAAACTTTGAACGTTACAGAACTTCTTTACTTGTAGTGGCCTACTAATTGTCGGCCAAACATCAATAAAAACAAAAAATGATGACAAACTGCGCTGTCGAGAAAAGAGGAAGAGAAACTAGAGAAACAGGAAAAAGGTGTTACAAATACACAACTTGTGTAACGAGCAGAGTTCAGTTTCTTTTTTGGGGATTTCGTATGGTTGAACAGTACGAATATATTTTAATGGTTGTTCACCCTCATCGAAAGAATTACTGTAATCTGTGCAGTTTAAGAGGATTACAATAGATTTTCGTCGGCTCTTATCTAATTGTCTGCGCTTCTGCATCAACAACTATTTCTTGCGGCAACTTTTGCTTCAAATATACTCACAGAACCGTGAGCTTCCATGGGGACAGTAGTCTTCGAGAGCGCACAAAATTGAACACGCCAATCGCGCTTCTTAGCGTAATCTGTGTCAGTTGGCGTACTTCTGTTAGCCAAATGTATTGAGCTAAAATTTCAATTTTTTAAACATGTTACTGGCGCACTCGTGCGATGTTCGTCTCTTTGTGGAAAATAAACTCCGGTTCCATGCCTGCCAAATTCAAAACAAAAACTACAGTAACCGACTACCGTAACCTTAAAAAGATTTTCCTTCCGGTTTTTTGGAGTTTTGTCCGTTTCCCGGAAGTTTTTTTTCGCTATTTTTTTCGCTATAAGAACAGTTTCTTTTCCGTCTTTTTTTTGGGAAAATTGTCGCTAGCAGTGAAACTCGAAAAAGTTAGACAAAAAACATGAATATCTTTGTAAGAATGGCGGCTGTGGTTCTTCTTCCACAACTTTTTCAATTTACTCTCATAAAATAAACATTCGCTCTTTCTGTGTCTTGTTGTTTTCCATCCCCAAACCCTTTTTTTTTGCAGAAATGGCCCCAAAAACTATTTTCATCACCGGAGCGAACCGCGGAATCGGACTCGGACTCGTCAAAGAGCTTCTTAAAGTTTCCGGAGTTGAAACGATTGTAGCAGGAGCCAGAAACATTGATGGAGCAAAGGTTTAAAACAGTCCTGATCGTTATTTTATCGAATTTTAATTCAGGAACTTCAATCAGTAGCGAAATCTGATTCCCGCGTTCATCTCCTTGCTGTCGACGTTGCGAATGATGAGAGCATCGCAAACTCGGTGAACTCCGTTGCTGGACTCGTCGGAGAACGCGGATTGAATTTGTTGATCAACAACGCAGGCGTCATTGAGCCATATGGCACTAGCTCTACACCGAATCGAGCTACCGTTCTCAAATGTATCGATGTGAATGCTGTCAGTGCACTTCTGGTTTCTCAACACTTCCTTCCACTTCTTCAAAAAGCTGCTGCGAAAGAAGATGGAGATACTTTGTCGGCTGATCGTGCAGCAATCGTGAACATTGGATCGGATTGCGCCTCACAAGCACTGAATCTCCGCGGATCAGGACCCGGAAATTCTCTTCTCGCCTACAAAATGAGCAAAGTGGCGATGGTCAGCTTCTCTCGATCAATGGCGGCAGACTTCAAGAATCTCAACATTCCGGTTCTCATCACCAATATTCATCCAGGATGGGTTCAGACAGACATGGGAGGATCCAACGCAGAAATTTCGGTAAAATTCCAATTTTTAAAAATAAATAGTTAATTTGTCCTTTTAGGTGGACGAATCGGTCACAAAGATCGTTGCGAGCATCGGCAAGCTAAATGCTTCTCACCACGCAGGACTGTTCAACCGGGAGCTCGAAACCATGCCCTTCTAAAAATCTGCACACTTTTCCTTTTTTTTCAAAATTGTATTTTGATTCATATTCACCTAAATTTTTCAAAATGAAACAAGCTCGACAGAAATATTTTAAATAATTAAAAAAAACCCAGACAGACATCTGCAGATTGAGTTATTTCAGGGATGTTCAGAACGGAATTCCGAAATTCCGACAATTTCGGGATAATTTCCGAAACTTTTTCTATTATGCTTGTCTGAGAAAAAAAAGGTTGAGACGCAGAGAAAAAGTGTCTGCGTCTCCACCGTTTGTGTGCTATTTAGGCTCTCCGCTTCGATATCTCTACCGTATTCAGACTGCAAAAAATACTCTCTAACGTTTTTTTTCTCAGACAAGCATAATAGAGTTTTTTGGACTACAGTATATCAAAGGCGCACTCTGACAGTTCTCCTGCGGGTCACGAGCAGAATTAAAAAAATTTTTTTTTACTCTGCTTGTCGATTTTTCACCATTTTCTCGCTTAAGCGCTTCTGTGATGGAAAAGTGGGATTTCAACTTTGAAATTTGAATGTAAAAAAGACCAATGTTTTCAAAATCGGAGTACTCCAAAATGTCGAAAATTTAAAAATCGGAATTTTCCAAAATTTCGAAATTTTAAAGGTGGTGTACGGTGAAATTTTTCATTGCATCAAAATGTGCAGAAATGCATGTAGATTGACATAAAAATAAAGAAAAAATTCCTACATCGAGAAAAACGCATCGAAAAATACGCTGAAAGCCCTTAGGGACGAGGTTTTTTCTAGGCCGCCCGGTGAGTAAAAGCGCGCGAATTCAAATTTTTAAAATTTTTTCGCTCGTTTTCACTGTTTTTTTTTCAAATTTTCCGATATATCTGGAAGAAAAGTTGACAAAAACCTGGAAAACTCTTGAAAAAACCGAAAAAAAGTGAAAACGAGCGAAAAAATTTTAAAAATTTGAATTCGCGCGCTTTTACTCACCGGGCGGCCTAGAAAAAACCTCGTCCCTAAGGGCTTCCAGCGTATTTTTCGATGCGTTTTTCTCGATGAAGGAATTTTTTTTGAATTTTTCTTTATTTTTATGGGAATCTACATGCATTTCTGCACATTTTGATGCAATAAAAAATTTCACCGTACACCACCTTTAAAGCTTTCGATATTCCGAAAAGGCCACTCCGAACATTCCTGCAAATTCATTCGGTGTTGTTTCTCGAACAATGCATTGCTTTTTTTTTCAAACTTCACGATGGAAAGATGTTAAATTTTCATTATAAATCAGAACAGCAGTAGCCTAATAATCTAAAAAAGAAGGGCTGAATGGATTGATTACTCTAGTACAATAAATATTATGCAGACTTATGAAAAACGTTTGGGTGATTAGAACTTTGGAATAAAGGGCAGCGAAAGAAAATTTTAAGCAGCTGGCAGCTAGAAAAAAAAAAGAATTGAACATTTAAGAAAAAAATTTTGGGAATAGTAATTGAAAGGAAAGAAAGCAGCGGGTGGGATTGGAAAGTGAAAAAGTAAACGGCAGTATAGAAGAAAAACAATGATTTTTAAAACATAGAAAACAAGGAAAGAAGCAAGAAAACAACAGGGTAAAATTAAAGCTTATTGGCTAGAAGAAAAGATAAAAAAGAGAATAAATACCTGGTGGGGGGAAACGAGGGGAATGACAAAAATGAAGATTCAAACACAAATGCAACCAAAAATGGAAAATAAAAACTATTTAGAAAGCAAAAGAGACCAGAAGAAGAGAGATTCAAAACAAAAAAAATGTTGTCGTTGTCGGGATTCAGTAACGACGTTTATCTTCATCAAAGTCCATGTCACCGGAAAATCCGTCGTCATCCAGTTCGTCATCTATCGATCCGCCATTTTTTACATGATTCAGAAGTCTGGTGTTCACTTCGAAAATGAGTCCTTTGTACTTTTCTGGCACACATTTACCACAAAAACCACCACATCGACCCACCACTTTGGCATTGTTCTGTAAAAAATACAATTTTTCGAAATCCGAACTAAACCTAAAAAACTCACATAGTAGCGGTCAATTCTGGAGGATGTACGATGTCCCTGATCTTCCCAATTCAAATCGTCAACTAGTTTCAGTCCAGCATTCTTCAAATCGATCGAAAATTGTCCTTGTGGACACTCTTTCATACTGTAGCAGTCACCAGCTGTACCATACGGGACGTGAACTCCATACTCTCGTTGAGCGAAAGTGTAATCGGAAACTGAACGAAAAATAGTACATAAAATATAAACGGAAGTAAAAGGTGCTTACGATGGAATTTCCGATTCAACAAATCGATACGAACTTTGCTGAATCTCGTCAATCCAGCACTCGCATCACCGACGTCCGAACAGTGACAGGAATCATTTCTGTCTCCGTTAAATGGACAAGTATGTGGGTAGATCAGTCTGGAAAATTCACATTTATGCTCTATTTTGGACTCATAAAACTCTCACTTCTTTCCGTAAACTTCAGCAAAATTTGTTCTTGGATTCACATTCAAATATGCTTTTGGAATGGTTGAGTTCATCTGATGACAATAAACTTCAATAGTGAATCCATCAAGAAGAACAGTGTAGTTTCCGTCTCTAGCCTTTCCACTCAGTGATTTAAGTTCTTGACATGTGGATGGAAGGCCTTAAGATATCTATTAAACCTATTCAATATTCTCAGATGAGCTTACAATTTCTTTCGAAACAATACTGGGTACGACGTGGTTTCTTTGTGGTACACTTGATTCGTTCAACACGACGACCATCATTGGCCACACACTTAACACGACGACGTCTGATACCTTGTCCACAGTTCTTTGAACATTCTCCCCATGGACCAAAACTCCATTTGAATTCAGAATCACACGGATTGAGTTCACAGACTTGAGATTCAATTGGTTTTGGGAACATTTCACACTTTTCTTTTGGAACTGCGGGCTCATCTTCCAACATGAATATGATTGGAACTGTCGTATTGAAGTTATCTTTCCTTCGACATCTGACATCTCTTGTTTGAACTCCTTCTCCACATGATTTTGAACACTAAAAGAGCAGATAATTGTTTGGTTTTTTGATTTTGAAACTCACAGTTTGCCAATCCCCTGGAACCCACTCGTATGGACAATTTGATGTATCACACTCCCTGACTGAAATCGGTGCTCGAGACACATCACACATTCTCGGAGCAGCCCGTTTACCAGAAGTGCTCACGCAGTGCACCCGACGAGTTTGCTTTTGTCCCCGAGCACACTCATCTTTGCACTGAAAAATAGATAAATTCGTTTCAGATAGTGGAGAACAACAATCAGGGAGAAAAAGATAGAATCTGGATAGAGAATCTAAAGGGTCACCAGCACAATATTGTGACACGATTCTTACCAAATCCACTTGAAAACGAATGACGGTGCCTGAACGCGAGCGATTAGATTTTATAGACTAGGATCGCGCATAACAAACAATTGATCTCAAACAAACCTTGCTCCATGGAGTTATATTCCATTTGTAAGCAGGACAAGCCACTGGGAAGCAATTGGCTACAGAATGCAATTTGGTTTTATCATTACATTCAGAATCAGCCACGTGGTTTTTCCTTCCTCGGTAACATTGAACATCTCGACGACGGACACCTCGTCCACATGTTACAGAACACTGAAATATCACCGATCAGTTGACGAAGCCTGCGATTAGGACACATACCGAACTCCATGCGGTAGCCTTCCATTTCGGACAATGCTTGGTTCGACAACGGATTTCTTCCACTGGTTTTTTGGTTTGATCACATTCAGTACTGGCGATCGTTACGTTCAGAGATGGATTTACACATTCTACCACTCTTCGTTTCGTTCCACGACCACATTTGGCAGAACACTGAAAATGGATTGGTTGGATATTTTCGGCATGGAACTCGACTTCAATTTTAGTCTAGTCTTCATTTTTGATTTCAAATTAAATATAGTAATCTCTGGTTGAAAAATCTGGTATGTGGCTGACTATGAGTATTAAAAAAAATTGTTCCATCCGTCATTGTTTTTTCGTATTTACTAGAACACACTATCACAAAATATCACTTTTCCCTTAATTATCTAAACTTTTGTAAGAGATACTGTAAAATTCTCACTATTAAGATATGGGCACCATAAAAATTTTCCCATTATCCACAGCAAAAACCAAGATACATAAATATTCAAATTTACGAATGAGGTCCCGGTCTATCATAATACACACAGTACGCTACAGTAATAAAAACATGCGACAACCTTAACCACGCTAATAAAGCGCTACCCAAATTTTCAAGTTGCACAAAATTTGTCTCGGTTCCTGTAGAAGATATCAAAAATTTGCCAAATAATTAAATAGTGACGAAGTTATGATAAAAATTTTGTCAGTTGATCACTTTTTGATATCTTTTACAGGAAACGAGATATATGTGCTCAAAGTTGACGGTTTGAGTGATATTCTATCAGAGTGGTTACGGTAACTCCACTAAATCTACAGAATTCTAATCTACTTCTAGATACAACCAAAAATTGCAGTGAAACCAAAAATTGCAGTGAAAATAAATTTGAAAAAGTGCTGCTGTGCAAAAAGCCTCACCTATATATTCACAACCTCATTTTGAAACGGACAATTGAGCAAATCATGCAACACGTATAAAAAAGCGACATAGAAAGAGACACATTTATTTGGATTTTCATATGCTTGTGTGGTTTTTTTTTGGAAAGGCAAAGATCATAAGAACATAGAGAGAAGAAAACAACTGAAATCTGTGGCATTCTTTTGAGAAAGAAAACATATGGGGAAATAATTGAACTGTTTTTTGGGGGGAATAGACTTCTTTGAAGCAGCAGTGAAAAATAATTTTTTTGAAAGTTGAAAATGATATAACCCGTAATTGAAATGAAAACAAAAAAAAGAACGACAACGACGGAAAAGCGAAGAAAACATGCAAAAAAGGACATGGACATGGCACATAAAGACACAGAAAACAAAGACAGACTAGACCTTATTCACTTGATACGTGTAATAATTGCTATTACGATAATATGTTTTTGGCCGATTCCTCCTCGTCTTCTTTCGACGACGTGGAGGAGGTGGCAAAAGCGAAGTAGACGAAGAAGAAGATGGGTGAGAATTGATATGATTAACTCTGTTATTACGTACCGCGCTCCATGCTGACGATTGCCAGGAGACGACGGGCGGAAGGATAGGAAGCAGAGAAGCAGAAGCGGAAGACGTCGAATCGGAAGAGATAGATGACGAAGATGTCTTGTTAATTGGACGAGAACGACACGGTGGCATTTCGCAGTCTCTCTGTTCTCGTGGTTTCACTTCGAAACACTCGGTATCATCTTGTTTTCGACCGGAAAGCACGTCTTCACACCAGATTCTACGACGTTGGACACCTCCTCCACAAGATACGGAGCACTGGAAACTGACATTAGAAAAAATACGGGTTCAAAAAACTTACATGAGTCCATGGAGAAATCTGCCAAGAATTATTAGTGAGCGGAGGACAAAGTTCTTCGTTGCACTTATCGAACATCTTGGGTTTTCGAGTTTCGTCACAAGAAGCAGAAGTACAGGATACACTGCGACGACGCCATCCGCCACCACATGACGCAGAACACTAGAAAAATGAATGAATAAGGTTTCTTTCACTAAAAATGAATCTCACTTTCGACCAATCTCCAATAATCCAGGATCCAATATGCTCTTCTCCTTTTGGACATGGTTCCAGACGACAATTTCTGGTACTTGTCGGCCTCTTCTGAACGTCACAATCCGTATCTCTTAATATTGTTTTTCCACTGTCTTCTGCACTGACACATGATACATTTCTACTCTGTTGGACATGGGTTCCGCACGTGGCTGGACAATCCTCCCATTCCCCGGACTTCCAGAATGAGCAATCACGGAGGTGACAGTTTCGGGTCGAGACCTCTTTCTCCAGATGACTACAGTACTCATCAGGTAGATCACGAACATGATCTCTGCATTTGAGAAGACGACGTTGAGTTCCGTTTCCACACGTGGCAGAGCAAGCTGTCCATGGTCCAGTTGCCCATCGAATTGGAGGAACGTCTGCTTGAAGTTTCTGAAGCACTCGCGGTCCTTCACATGTATCCTTTTCACAGCTCTTCTTTTCTCGAGGACGTGTATTCTGAAATTAAGAAACTTCATAAAATAAAAAATAGGATATTGGGCTCACTCTATCACAGAAGTATTCATCAACAACATTTCCTTCGGATCCACGGATACATGACACACTTCTGGTTTGAATTCCAGATCCACAAGTTACTGAACATGGGGACCAATGACTTGGTTTCCACGATGTGCAGGGCAGAAGATGACAAGTTTGACGGGTCTCTGGCAATTTCGAATCTCCACAGAATGAGGAATCAACTGATTGATCGCGATAAATGCATTCGATAGTTCGTTCACGATGACCGATTCCACATGAGACGGAGCACTGAAATGAATAGATGCATTTAGTTTAAATCATACAAATGTATAACTTACGGCACTCCAGTCAGTGGTTCTCCAGAATGGACATGTTCCTAGGTTACATGTTTGATGAGAAGCAGGACGATCAGAAGCAGGTCCACAAAGAGATATATCAACTTCGGTTCCATTTCCAGCAACACAAGAAACTCTTCTTGATGACCATCCATCCTCACAAGATACACTGCATTGAGACCATTCTCCAAGTTTATATTTGGGACATGGCTCTCTGTGACATTGTTTCGTAAGAATCTTTTCCATTTTGTTGCATCGATGTTCCTGGAGAACCGATCCATGACGATCTGTACAGTTGGAATCTCGATACTGTACTCCATCTCCACATTTCACTGAACACTCTGACCAAACTCCGAATTGCCACCAAGTGCACGCATGTTCGTTGCATGCTTCGTGTGTATGAGCTGGTCCGCATCTCGAGTTGTGAGTCTCTCGATCGGCGGCATCCAAACACTGAGCGTGACGCATTCTGACTCCACCATCGCAACTTCTGGAGCATTCGACCAGTGACCGTATACCCATCTTGGACATGGAATCCTGTTACATTCTCTTTCGGTTCCTTCCTTTTGTTCTCTTCCACAAAGTGATTCATCAACTCGTCGGTTCGATCCATCAACGCAATACGATTTTCGGTGCATTTTTCCATTTGAACCACAGGTTTCTGAGCAAGTCGTCCATTCTCCGTAGCTCCATCTTCTTCCAGAACAGTCAACATAACAACTTGTGATTTCTGCTGGTTTTGTGTTTCGATCACAAAGATGTTCAGAAACTGGAGTTTGGCGATCTCCTTCCATTTTGACACATGACACTCTTTGACGTTTTTGACCGGATCCACATTTTGCGTTACATGTAGAAACATCTTCAGTTATCCACCTGAAAAAAAAACTTGTAAAGAAAAACGAGTTTGAAACGGAAGTTACCTTGTCGAGCAGTCGATATTGCACATTCTGGTTGCTTGTTTCGGTTTAAGAACGTTCTGACAGTTTCTGTCGTGACTCTGTCGATGAGTTGACATATCCACACACATCAGCTTCTGAGTTTGTTGTCCGCGACAAGCTCTGTCACAGTCAGACCATGATTCGGTAGGTCTCCATAGATACAATGCACTGGAAATCGGCCGAACAACTGCATTGGGAACAGCAGCAGTCATGTATTCGTAGGATATATCAGGTGGATGACTTCCAACAGAAAGAACATGAACATAAATGTCACTTCGAATTGGTCCAGTTCCATTGATTCGTTCAATAACGGCGTCAGATCCGGAATATTCGAGAACAGTATCTTGGAATGCAATTTGTTGACGAGCTAAGGAAACTTGGAAGTGTCCGTTGAGAAGGAATTCTCCATTCGCAGCACGGAGGGAGAGATAGTTATCATCTTCCTTCATGTTATTGTATCCCTTCTGTCGGATATCAATGTTGGCTGATCCTGCTGGGATCTTCATCACTTCATTGTACCCGAAGGTTCCTTGCTCATTGAATGTTCCTTTAACCACCTTGCAAGACGAATCGTTACCACCACAAACTCCACACTTATCTCTTCGGAGAGTCGAATGAAGTTGATGATCACATCCTGAAATAAAAAAATTTGAATTCATTTTGAAAAACAACAAATTTACCTGCTGGCATGCAAGCTCCAGCTACACAAATATCGTCCCCATTCCGATCACATGGAGTTCCATCGACAACTTTATCCTTGAGCAGGTAGAATGCGGCAGATCCACTCAATCTACAGTACAGTTTGCAGCGTTCATTGGGAGCAACATTGGCATATTTCGGAACCCATATCGTGTTTGTAGAAGCGACTCCTTGAATTCCAATGTCTTTATTGTTGAATTCAGCACATTGAAGTTCTCGGTACGGTTGAGTATCCCATGGACATTCTTGAGTGTTACATGACCGATATCTTTCTCGTTGACCAACACAATACTTTCCACCATTACGAGGTCTGAAATATTTGGATTGGAAAAAGCGAGTGGTGAGAAGCTCGAAGCCCTGAAAACTAGCTTTGGGTGCTCTAGTCTCGATTTTGGGTGTATATAGCTAATACGATTTGAGAAGCTTGGTAGAATTTTTGAAGCGGCCCATAAGCCCGAAAAGCAGATACGGACAAACATGAAAGGTGCTTTGATATATTCTTTTTTACCTTGATGGATCGTTTGACCTCCTAGAATCGATCTCATTATCTTCTCTGAATTCAGAATTTGGTCTATACATAACCAACTCCCAATTTTCCTAAATAACTCACTTTGGACTGTCACAATCTCGCAACGCTTTCTGAACACCACCGCCACAAGTCCGACTACAAGTTCCCCAATCCATCCAATCTCCCCATTGACCATCAACTTTGGTGAGAGACTCTGCTGCAAGACGGACGCAGGCTCCATGATGACAAAACTGAAAATCAAGGAAGGTGAATATGTACTATATCAAATGATCTCACCATATTCCTCGACTCGTCGCATGGCGTTCCGTCGGCCCATGGCATATGCTGAGTTCGACACCCCATCTGGCTTCCGTAGAATGTAGCACACCAAAGACGGCGGCATGTCGGCTGAAATTCAAAATAGTTAGCTAAACGATTTGAAGTACAGTAACCCTACCATATAAGGGCACAACTCTGAAGCAGGTCCAAAGACGAATTTGCACTGTTGATGAGCATCGTACTTTTTTCCAGGTTCATCCCGTACAAACACATCTTCGTAATAGCGACGTTCGACCGGTTGATCGAATAGACACTGGGTTTGACCTCGATTGTTTCTGAAAAAAGCTGGAATAATGATAATCTCAGATTCAGAATACGTACTCGAGGAATCGTTCGAGCATTCCAGCTGAACAAGGTGACCAGCTCCATGGATGCGTGTTATATTCCAGGGTGGGTGCCATGATATGGAAGTTGTTCTGAATAAATCTCAATTCATTTCAATGTCTCTTATTCATCTACAGTACCTTGTTGACCTGCATATAACTAGAGCACTTTCGTTCGTCATCATGAGGTATTGAAAATACGTGACCTAGTTCGTGAGCAATGGTAAAGGCAGCACTCAATCCGTTGTCTTCGATGATAGCACAACTCTTTTGTAGATCACACATTGTTCCAAGTTCAGCAAGTCCCAACGTATCACACTTTCCCTGTGACCTACAAATGTCTTTTCGTGTCAAGAGAATCGCCACGTCATGATGCTGAACACTCGAATCATCTGGATCGTTGTAGTACTGTTGCCATTTACAAAAGTCTTGAAGTGTTTGTTGAGCATTCTGAGTGATACGTGGACCAGCGTTTTCCGTTTTCAGCACGATCAACTTGACAACAACGACATTGATAGAAGCTTTGAGAGACTGATGACGATAGATTGAGGCAACTGTAGAGAAGAGAGTGAGAACGTAGTCTTCCAGTGATCGTCCATGGTATTCATACATCTTGGTGTCAGCCACCACAAGTACTTCCACGTAGTGATCCCATGAATTCGCTGCTCTTCGTGAACGCGCTTTTCGCTCTGAAATTTTTTTCTCAACGTTCTGATCTTCCCGTGGTGCCAAAAATCATCTCTGATTGGCGGCACATTCGACCACACGCTAACTATCACCCATTATCTTCCTTTGCTCGTTTACTCCGTTTAACTACCATTATCCATTGGTGCCCAGGATCCTATAGTTTGTGTGTGTGTCAGGGTGTTTTAATGGGCTATTACACACACCCGATGGGAGCAGAAGCAGCTAATATTTGAGGTCTACTCTCTGGGAGCGCATCAAAAACTTTTTTATGTCTTCTAGTTAGTAAGGAATCCAGAATCTGACTCCAGATGGCAAAGAAGGCATATCCGCCTACTCAAAAAAAGTGTCGTTTCCGAACTGATTGTTTCGTGTGTTTGTTCTCTATTTTTCTTCTTCCCGGACGTATACGCAACACAAAACCGCTTGCGGGAAGACGAAGGACGTACACAAAACGTAAACGTTCTGCTACTGCTGCGCAACCTTTTTCTTTTTTCTCTATCTCTCTGTACGTGCTTCTCTCCATAAATCATCATTCCTTTCTCTCTCATACAAGCTCAACTCCCAATGAGTTCTTGTGTCTTCTCTGACCTTTACACGTCGGCAGGAGCAGATCTCGATCAGACACTCGAGCGCCAGTTTCAAAAAAAGAGAACGAACTATTTTTTTGGGGATTTTGAAAACCTAGGCATAAAACATGAAAATAAGTGAGGAGACTCTTTACCAATGACATCTTCCCACTTGTCTTGCCACGTGGCAACAGTCGTCTCCGCCTCGCTGACACTTGTGGAATTGAGATGGTCGAATGATTTAAAGTGCATTGGATCGAACTTCCGGACGAGATGTTGTCTATGTCGACCTGCTCCGTCATCTGAAATATCCCATTTAGAAAACTAATTTGTTTTGATTGAATACCTGTTCCGTTTCCACTAATGATCGGCTCGACTGTATGGATTCCACTGGGCAAAGCGAGCATTCCGTACTAAAGTTTGATTTTTTGAGGTTTCACACAAATACAAACTAGAAACTCACCAATCCATCATCGGAGTCACACAAATTGACGATGCTATGCTGGTGGACACCTTTGACGTGAGCACGGTAGATGCAATCGGGGTCTGTTCGGCCCATTCCACCTCGAACTTCCTCCTCCGAGTCCAGATAGAGGACCATCGGTTGGTAGTTCGAGTTGGCAAAGTGAGGTACACTTCTGAAAAAAGGAAGTGATGTAAAAGTTACTTCAGAATTCATACTTGTTATGTGAGTCTGGAATTTGATTCCATCTGTGCAAATGGACAATGTAGACGGCATCATCGGATCGTAATCGTAGATGGCATGCGTGTCCACAGTCTCTGGCGACTCCATGTAGTCTGGGACCTGATGTTCGGACATCTCGTTTTCCACGTCGTCCATGTGAATCTCTTCGGACGATGTGATGAGAGTCGATGATGTGGATTCCCGCATCGTGACGCCATCGAGAATGATGCACTGGCACGCCTGAAAAATGATTCAAATATTCCAGAACCACCGGATTGCGGCCATACCCGAGTACTTGGCCCTGGAGAACAGCACATCTGGTGAAGATAGTGTTGTTGTCGAGCCACTCCCTGCTGAAAAAAAGGAAAACGTTGAAATAACTGAAAAGGGAAAACGAACATTGCAACGCATATACGAGGCAGACGACGAGGAGTAGGAGAGCGGCGACGAAAGGCTGCAGCAGATGGAATGAGCCGCCGATGGAGCGCATACCAACAGCTCCGTGATGATGATTATGATGGAGGTTTGAAGAAGGAGAAGAAGTTAGAAGAAGCAGAAGACTCCGATGAAGTGCGTCGTCTGTCTCTTCTGTACCTTCCAAACACTACCTACTAACGGTAGAGCAAGTGGACGAAGGTTCTGCGACTAGTGTACTTCTGGAGTTGTTGTTTCGGTGGTTATCCGAGTTTGTGACGTCGTCAAGTTGAAGAATGAATAGAGGAGATTGTAGAAGGAGCACTTGAGATGGGGAACAGAGCATCACAGTCTTAATATACGAGGATTTCAATATACCGTAACCACTCTTATAGAAGCCCACCCAACCCGTCAACTTTGAGCCTTTCATTCCCTATAAAATATATCGAAAAGTAACCAACTGGTAAAACGATTGTCATAATATCAAAAATGTTTTGTCAGTTGACATCTTTTTTATATCTTTCACTGGAAATGAGATAAATTGGCTCAAAGTTAAAAGTTCGTTCGGTTACATGTTTTTTGAGATTGTAACTTACAAATTCCCTTTCAATATTCTAGAGCAATATTCTAAACCATAGCTAGACTATTAAAAAAGAAGACTACTAACAAACAACCTTATGTCTTAGTTCTCTCAAATCCTATAAATCAAAATCCAACTGACCGCTGGTAGTAGTAGTTATTGTACTACATATAAATATTTCAAAAAAAGTCATTTCTCATCAAACGAACCTCATAAAAATCAGCTTGAAACGGGCACAATTTCAATAAACTCTGTGTGCTCTCTTGCTCCTTTTGTCCTTTTCTTCTTCTTATTATTCTTCGTCTAGTTGTTCGTCTCTCTCCGTTCTTGACGAAATCTGTAAATTGTTTTCACTCATCATTTTTGATTTATTTGAATGCGTGTCGGCTCTCTCGGTGGAGCTATTTAGTTTCGGAAGCTCACTCCCCCTAATAGTTCCATAGTACTAAATCAAAACAAGGAGGAAGCGAGAAGGTGTCATAAACTACTGATAACAATCATTTGCAGGTGGAACAAGGGGAAAAGAGATTTAGAGAAGAAGGAAAAGCAGAAAAAAAAGAAATAAATAAAGTAGCCAATGTAGGGAACAGGACCCATGTTGATGTGTATCCGAAGGGATCCGTTTTGTGTAGTGATGGTAGTAAACACTTGAGAAAAGAAGGGAACTTCCACCCCCAACAGGAGCCCAATTGATGATAGAAAAAAGAAATGGATGAAGGAGAGGAGGACCTACTAATGATCTGATTGAGATTTACTGATAAGAGGAGTACAACATGCAAAAAATAAGAAGAAGAACATAGAAATATTGAACTGGAGATATTAAATTTTTCGGAAGATCAGGGATCGGAAAAGTGCCGAGCTTGTTAATATGTAATACAGAAATCTAGTTGAATCCAGTTGACAACTATGGTAGGAGAACTTAACTTTTGGGGCCGAAATACAGTAAGACACGGTAACCAGGGTGAGACTTTTATAAAGTAAATGCCCTTATAGAAGCCCACCTTATACGTACACTTTGAGCTCAATTATCTCGGTTCCTATAATAGATATCAACCATTTTTCAATCAATAAAGTATCGGCGATATTGTGAAAATATTTTATCATTTGACAACTTTTGGATATCTTTTGAAGGAATCGAGATAATTGAGGATTGGGCTGACGACCAGTTGACGGCTGGGTGGGCTTCTATTAGAGTGGTTACGGTAGAATTTTAAAAACTTCAACTACTATAGTATAGGAACTTATTACCAAAAACGACTGACAATCTAGGATCCACCTTTTGACCTCTCACTCTCAAAAACGTGCAGTTGACAAGTTCAGTGAGAAGAACAAGAAGAAGCAGGAACGGAGGCCAAAAAAGCAAACAAAAACCGAGATAGTTCATTCATTTGGGTTCTTTCGAGAGAAAGAAACACTTAAAAGTTGCACATGGAACTTCTGGGACATTCTTCTACATAACGAATGAACTCATCCCACTCCACTCCATCTCAATACACACAAAAATCAAAATGGACGGAAATTAGGAGCAGATGTGGTGAAAGGGTGGAGCAATCTGGGGAGAAACGGGAGCTAGAATTTAGAATCCCCAAAAGTTTAGATTTGAGAGAAAATCTTCGGACGTTTTTTGCAGAATAATTTTTTTTTCCAAAATTTTAAAACAGAGTCTGATTTCTCTAAATCAAAAAGAGACAAGTATCGAAGTTTTTCTATCATATCAAATAGAAAACAAGGTGACCAAACAAGAGATGGTGATGTCAAAAAGTTTTTGGATTGGAGCCAAAAAAGGGAACACAAAACACAAAACATTCATACCGTGTGCTGGGAAAGTGCTCCTCATGGATTGAAAGTTTTCAGTTTTGTTGATATTATGGTTATTTATTTGGCACCCAGCCAACCAGTCTGTTGGATTGACCTAGTAAAAAGAAGGCGGAGCCTAAGAGAGAAAGTAAGACGAAGCGACGCAGACATATTGGGTAAGAGAGGTAAAAGGAAGTGATACTAACCTATAGGAAACGGAGAAAAAACCAGAGAGAGGACGATAAGAGATAAAAGATTCAGAGAGAGTGCTCTTCTCGGCGAGAGCATATTCTTCTTCTTCTTCTTCTTTGAGGGGACCTGGGGCAACTGACGCAATTGAAACATGGTCGAGCGATCGGCGGGAAGACAAAACGTGAAGAAGGATGGGCAAGAAAAAAGAGCAAGAGAAATGGCACCCCGTGTGGAACATGATGATGATGATTGAGAGTGAAAAAATGGAGAGATTTCAGTGATATACAAAAACGTATTTTCTGTTGATTTTCTTTAATTTTGAACGTTTGGCTACAGTAATCACTCTAATAGAGCGCCACCAAAATTTTCAGTTTGACCAAATTTATCTCGACTTCTGTAGAAGATATCAACAACTTGTCAACTGTTTGAATATTGGTGATACTATGATAAAAATTTTGTTAGTTGGTCACTTTTTGATATTTTTCACAGGTAACGAGATAAATGTGGTCAAAGTTGATGGTTTGGATAGCCGTCTATTAGAGAGTTGTAGTTTTTGTACTGAAATCGTGAAAAAACAGGTGTCTTTCAGAAATCGGAAAATAACTGAGAAACAAGAAATTAATTCTGTGAATGCAAAGTTTTTAATCTAGATCTGTTTCACATCATCTTAAATTTTCAAAGTGATTGCATACTTGACAGCCGAGCTCCAGAATCTCGAAAATGATCAGATTGACCGAAAACTGAAAACTTTCTTGTTTTTTCTGTTGATCGGTACTGTGTCCCCAGCCTAAATGCAAATAAATTCTAAGATTAGCGTATTTGGATTCTACAGATCTCTCATCTGATTACAGATGGATTAATAGTATTACTATGAGTTTCTACCGAACACTAAACAAATAAAGTTCTCCTTTTGGAGATTCCTCCCATTTTATGCCCCTCCATAACTACAGTAATCCTTCTTCAATGACCCGCGACTGCCAAACTAACTTAACGTCAAGTTTTCTCTTGAGTAACAATAAAAAAACAAATAAAAACTCTAATAGAGGAATACCTCATAAAATAGGTGACATGCATGATAAATTACTTTCGAGTTTCCGGTTTTCCAGGTGAAAACAAATTTCAGAGAAAAAGAGGAAAAAGACTTTGATGATGATACGGTATGACTGTTACTTACCTGACTAATAGTGTGAAGATTTCAGTAGATTATAAAAAAGGGAAGTTGTTGAATTTGAGAAGTTGAATCGACTTTCACGATGTCTGAAAATTAAAAAAATTCCAACGAGATGATGCACATGAAAAATATAAATATACAAGAATTTTGAAGAGACTAGAGATTGGTTTTGCGGTGGCGAAGAAACCCCACACATTTTTTTCGTCTATGTTATCTCTATTTTGTCTCTCCCCTCAAAAACCGTTCTCTATTTACTGTCCAGAAGAATGAAGAAAAAGTGGAAAAAGTGCGCGGGAAAATCTAAGAGAGAAAGAGAGAGAAGAAGGAAAAGCTCAGTGGTTTTGCAAAACTTTTTCGGGCAATAATCCGCCGGCGAGTACTACGAGAAGCACACACAAGTAAGCAAAAAATGACTGTCGAGTTGGGTTGAAAATTTTGGCTCAAAAATTTGGTTCTTTTTGGTTTCAGAGGGACCACTTGGGTTCAGGGCTCAAGTTTCGGGAAGATTCGTTCAAAAAGTATGGCCCATTGGGAACGGGTTTGTTAAATGTTGCTCTGCAATTTTTGACGCTTCAGGGAATCCTGCTCAGTTCAAAGTGACCTTAAAACATCGAACCCATGCCCCTATTCGTGGTCCGACCCACTTGGGCCCGATTCCCTTGGTATCGGCACCGATGCCCCAGGTAGATCCACATGTGCCAAAAATTTGCTGAGTTAGGTCACAAATAAATATGAGTATTTTGAAAATCTTGAAAAATGTACAACGTCATGGTAATTACAAATAAGTTTTTCAATTTTTGGCGCTTTAGGGCACCGTGATCAGTTCAAAGTGTTCTTAAAACATCGCACCCGTGCCTCTAGCTCGCAGGTGTCGGACCTCTACCCCCCTGGGAGAAATTACTGCGTTGCAGGGGCACCGGTGCTCCAAATAGGGACAAATGTGCCAAAACTTTGCTGAGTTGTGTCAAAAACCTTCAAACAAATATATTGAAAATCTTGAAAATCAACTAACTGGCTCAACTAAATCTAAAAATTTAAATCATAAAATTTAGTCATCTACAGTATCCCTACTACCTAAAACTACAGTATTTATTGTCAAAGCTCATATTAATGCAATGAGTCTAAATCTCTTGTTGTTTTTTTTCCTGTCGTACTGTTAGTTTTATACCACTTGAACAAGGGCAAAGAGTACATAATAAAGCGTGTCTAATGACGAATGAAAAAAAGATAGAAGTGACCTCATTGGAAGGATAAAAACGATAGAAGGAGAAGAGGAACATGAATTGGTTTTAGAAGAATCCACGGGTAGAAGATATTCATGGCCTCGAGAATAGCA